GCCGAAACCGGTTTGGCTCAGTGGATAGAGCGTCGGCCTGCGGACTGAAAGGTCCCGGGTTCGATTCCGGTCAAGGGCATGTACCTGGGTTGCGGGCACATCCCCAGTAGCAGATGTGCAGGAGGCAGCTGATCGATGTTTCTCTCTCATTGATGTTTCTGACTCTCTATCTCTTTCCCTTCCTCTCTGTAAAAAATCAATAAAATATATTTAAAAAAAAAAAAAAAGTTATTTTATAATTGCACTTCAAATACCTGAGTCCTCAATATTCTAAGCCTTCAATAACTCTTGGCCCCAGGTAATAAACTAGACCAGTGATCTCAAACTTTAGCTTGCATCAAAATCACCAGAAAGGCTTGTTAAGTCATATTGCTGGGATCCATACAGAGTTTCTGATTCAATAGGTCTAGAGTGGAGATCAAATTCTGCACATCTAAGAAGGTTCTACTCGATGCTGCTGGTCCAGGGACTATACTTTGAATTAATCAAGAACAAAGCTCTAAAGAAAGTAGACCATCTTCAGTAGAAAAGTCCTTATGTGGGAACTGGGATCAAAAAGAGAAAAGCAGAGTTTGAAGTAACTCTTTACCTTTATATCAACTCTACTCAAGGTTCAAATACATGAAAGCAGCAAAACTCAGAGTAAACCTTTACCTTGGCAACTGTGGTTATCCCAAATCTGTCTGCCTCCTCCTCCATTAGAGTAGCCTGCCTTCTGACCCACCTTCATGCTCACCATACAAAGCCCATTTAAGGTAAAGACTTAGGGGAATAGTGCTGTATAACTCTAGAGGTCACCCATGCCACCTAAGTCTACTAATCACCCCAGTTCTTCAGCCATACATCCATAAACATAAAGCAAGCAAGGATCACTGCACATTTGAGCAAAATAAATACTTCAAAAGCTGTGTCTAAATCAACTAAGAGACAAAGCATGAAAATCTTAACTATTATTATAGAAAAAAACAGAACTATCACAAACCCGATCAATATAAAAATTATAATAAAAATGGCTAAAAGGCCCTAGCTGGCTTGGCTCAGTGGATAGAGCATAGGCTTGCAGACTGAATGGTCCCAGGTTCGATTCCGGTCAAGGGCACATGCCTGGGTTGCAGGCTCGATCCCCAGTAGGGGGCGTGCAGGAGGCAGCCGATCATGATGATGATTCTCTCTCATCATTGATGTTTCTATCTCCCTTCTTCTCTGAAATCAATAAAAATATTTTTTTTAAATGGCTAAGAGTAGGGAGTCTGAGCTAAATTCCACCTCTTTCATTTTAATGAGTGCAAAGTGCCAGTGCATAATGAGACTAAGCAGAGAAATTGAGAGTGTTTACAAACGTTCATAAAAGCTTGAGTGATTTATGAATAGAAACTTAATAATAATCTAATTGTTAGATTAAATCTAATAAAAATATGGGCTTTTATTTTGTGTCTTTGCTTATTGCTTTATTTCTGATCATTCTAGTAATTCATTTCTATTGTATTTTATAAAAGTATCAATCCAAAAATCATTAAAAAAGAAAAACTGGTCTTTCACTATAGACAAACACTGTAATAAAAGTAGTTTCTAAAGTTTAATAAATCAAGAAACAAGAATTGTAAGACCTAAAAAACACAAACTGCTCAAAATTATTCCCCTCCACTAGTGGACATGGGGGTGATAGAAGGAATTACAAAATAGCATTTCTAATTTTGTATTAAATCTGTGTGTTTCTATCTACTTCTCCCATAGTTTGTGAACTTCATAGGGGCAGAAATCCTTCCTAGGGAAAAAATCCTAGTAATTTTATTCCCCCTGCATCTAAAAAACTGCAAAACATATGAATTGTTTATTATATGTTCTGAAGTAAATACCAAAAACTTTAACTGGATAAATGCAATAATTAAAAATCATTAAAAAACAAAATAAAAAGCTATGTTGAGAGGCAATATAATGTAGACTATGAGCCTTGGAGTTAGCCTGGGTTCTTACTTTGTCACTGTCCCTTACTAGCTGTATGGATTAAGTTTTAGGTTCCTCATCTATAAAACATACCATCTACCCTAACAGGATTAGTATGAGAACTGAATGAGGTAATGCACATAGAAGACTTAAGAAAGTGCTTGCCACAGAAGTAATATATATTATCTGTTATTTTTCTCTAAAACTTAAAACCTGAGGGATAATCACTAAACTATTCAATTTTACTTACAGATAATCCATTTTTCCATTGCATCCAAAGAGAGATATTCACAAGGCATCTTAAAAAGAGAAAATATAAATTTGTGTTTAAAAGAAATTCTTAAAAACAAAACAACCCATATCGAATCACTCTCCTCTGACTCCTCAGAATTCTCACGACTCAATTCTTGGCTCAAATACCCCAACAAATTTTAAAAGTTGGGTAAAAGTTTTATAACCTATATTTAAAATTGCAGTCCATAAAGGGCAATAAGAGCTGTGCTCCTTTCACATTTACATAACTTAATACCTCCTCCTCCTTAAAAAGTAATGTTGCTAAATCATATTCAATCTAATAAATGACAACTTCCAGATTTCCCAAGTCTATTTCAGAGTTTGTGGTATTCCAAAGGATAAAATTTTAGTCAAGTTAAAAAAAAAATTATGTATATGGGTGCTCACTGTTTCACTCAAATCAGTAATTATGTGTGTGCATTTTCCATATACATAACATCTATATTCATACACACAAAGATTAAAAAGAAATATAACAACATACAACAATTTTCTCTAGTTGGTAAGATTTGGGAAATTTTTTGTTTTTGTCTTTATAAATTTCTGCACCTTCTAAATTTTCCACCATAAGATTAAAACAAACTTTTAAACTTTAAAAGAAAATACACTACTAATTGTATTAACTTGGCATCAGAATCTAGAAATAAAAGTACTAAATAGTATAACTTAATTACTGAGCATTTACAATAAATTTCACTATAGGCTAGTACTAATTAGAATATTGCAATAGCACTGCTTAACTCAGTTTTTAAAAATCAATTTCACTATTTTCATTCAAAAAGGGAAAAACAGAATCATACGGTATCAGACTGTGCAGGATTAAGCATTGTACTGGGTGCACTGATGAGACTCAATAATTGGGCATTTCTCCACTGGTCGGCTGAAAGATTCCTTCTAGGATACACCATCTGAAGAGAAATTAGTGCATCTGAAAGAGACTAATTAAAATAGAGAAAAAAATATTGAGGAATAAAATTTCTTTTTCCTTCTCCATTTAAATTCCAGTTACAGCTGCTGTACATTTCTAATTGTACCATCCCAAAACAACAGAGCCTATGCTTTTTTTAATCTGAGGTCAGTCCCAGCAACACTCCTCCAGTTTGTTTTTGGTTTTTTTTATACTAACCTGAGGATATGGTTATTTATTTCAGAGAGAAGGGGAGAGGAGGGGAGAGAAAGAGAGAGAGAGAAACACTGATATGAGATTGAACCCAAAACCTGTTGGTATATAGGAGGACACTCCAACCAACTGAGCCACACCGGCCAGGGCCAGATTTTGTTTTCTTTATTTCATGAAAGCTACGTAAATTCTGCCTTCCTGGGTTAAGAGCTTAGCTCATGAAATCATGTTACCTTTTTAAAGTTCAGAATGTTTGGAAATGTTAGGATCTTTATTTTAAAGGGGTAAAGAACCTCCTGTCATCCTCTTGTGCATGATTTTACACTGATCGTTCTCACTGAGAGGAAAAGACGTTGGGGTTATGTGACTGTTGCTAGAGCTCAACATATTTCACATTTTTCCAAGAATGCCTTATATGTACTCTATCCTAATAAATTTGTCATGTGGTCTATTAACTATAGCTTTATCATTAAATATGTATCATTAAAAATATTTAATGTTCCACCTCATCTGCTTTATGCTTGTTTTTAGTTGTCCTTTGCTATTTATCTCTGCTTCCTAAAAATTCTGTATTGACTTTTTAATCTGACTGCACATAAATTGCTAGAGGAGTTTATTCAGAATACAGAATACAGAGTTTCATCTAAAATTCAGTGAACCAAAATCTCTGGGAATAGAACCCAGGAATCTGTATTACAATTACACTACATCATTAAATTAATTAAATTAAAATTAATTTATTTTTAATGAATACTAGCAAATACCTGATACTCTGGGATATCATGAAGCATCAGAAAAATCAAGATTAGAAAATAACTGGTTTAATCCAAATGGTAAATTCTCCTTAAGTAATTATGAATAGTCTAGTATATGCTAATTACTATGGAAAAGTTAAAAAAAGATCCAAGAGCCTTTAAAAAAATTTCATCACCTAAGTGGGAAAAGAAGCAAATCTGGTGTTAACTATATGTCAAAATACAAAATACCATATTAAAATTCTTTCAGCATCCAAACAGAACAATGAACCAAGATAATAATACCCTGGGATTTAGTTCTGATTTTGTCACTATTTCTGCCAAATGGCTTATCATGTCATTTCACCAGCCTTCAATTTCCTTATCTACACTAATAAAAGACAAAGATGCTAATTGACCATACCTTTGCTGCGCCCCCAAGCCACGCCCACCAGCCAATCAGAGCGACTATATGCAAATTAACCCAAACAAGATGGCGCCCGGCAGCCACGGAGCTGGAGCAAGCAGGCAGCTTGGTTGCCCGGGTGATGGAGGAAGCCAAGCTTCCTGCCAGCCCTGAGCCGCTGAGGCCTCCGCTCATGGCAACAAAGTTTCAATTATAGAAGATAAATAAATCCCAGATACCTGCTTCCAGCCAGCCTCCACTGGGAGCTTGGGTGGCTGGGGGCCGTGGCCAGCCTGCAAACAGCCATCAGCCAC